AGAGTGTAAAACAAAATAGTTGTTGACCCAATTGTAAGCTTGGGTAATAAAGAAATATGATTACTTAATAAGCTAAATTGTTGGGACGTTGTGATAAAAGCACATGCTGAAAAAACTGTTGCAATGGTAACTATGAATATGGTCATAGTACAAAACTAGATGTCTACAGTTACAAACCTTTTTGAGTGGGGAAAATTTGCATGAGTGAGAGTGTTGTTTCTTTTGAATTTTTTCTCAGAAGGATTGTTCTGACCTCTGTGCTCAAGTGCTCTTTCATTTCATGTATGTTGGAGTTTGTTGGCAGTTTTTGCCCAGATTACATGTTGGAGTTCGTTGGCAATTTGTGTTCAAATTGTGGTGGTGGAAGGTTACTGCTTCTGGATTTGATAACTGTTGGCAAAGCAATGCATCAACACGTTTTATTTCCTCTCCGTCCTTGCCTTTGAACTCTGCTGACTTTGTGGTTGATGTTTTTGTATGTGTATTGGGAGTGTTTGCTTACATTTTCACTTCAGGAAGTTTGTGTCTCTAACAGGAAGTGAGTGCCTTTGGTGATGATGGCGAAGGAGATGACCTCGATATCTGGATTGTGCAATGCAGTGGGACTTACTGGGAGCGGGAGGATGCAGTGCGCTTCAAGCACGTAGGAACTGAGGTGTTCCTTTCAATAACGGGGGAACAGTATGGCCATCCCATTAGAGGCCAGCGGGAAGTTCATGGCATGCCTACTGCTAATCATCACAACTATTGGAAAGCGATGGAAGGAGTCTTCGTCAAACCCAGTGTGGACCCTGCAAAACATGATGAGCTCTGAATTGACAGAGGATCCAAAATGCTTCAGCTTACTCCGGTGTTTGGAGATACTAGTCCTTGGTCTCTTATAAGTTCCACCTTGCATAAGTGACTGACTTTCTGTATTACCGAAGGGCATTAGTTCATTCTAGGAATGCAGCACTTCTGTGGGAAATGGCATATGCCACGTTCAGCCATTGAAATTTGTTTGGCAAAATTCCTTCTGAATTTTCAAGCTCAATTGATGAAACTAGTTTATACGTCTGTTAGTTTTTGTTGTCATTTGTTTTGCATATTACTTTTTCTCGAATTTAAAGGAAATGGAAAAACTGAAGTAATACGTTTCTGTAGTCCCAAGTACAATAAAACTTTGTATTTTGTAATCTTTTTCCAATTATAATTAAATATTTGGAAACTGATTTCTATTTCTTAGTGATAGAATCTTATTTATGAGGAGATGGAGTAGGTCTAGAAAGGGAAAAGTAGTTCTCAAATATGGTGTCCTTTGAATGGCTTGAAGTCAGCTAGTCAGCCTTCCAGGAAAAAAAAAAAAAAAAGTGGTCCATTTGAAAGTTGCTTCCAATGTCTTTCGTAAGTTTCACTGTATACTGTATTGGAAGAGTTGAAAATGTTGTGTATTTTGGAGTAAGAAGACAAAATTTTAATTTATTCACTTTCTCGGAGAAGTTCAGATTTTCTGGTGATGGTGATACTGATGATTGTCGAATGATAAGACTGCTCTGCTCTATGAACTGGTGCAGAAAGCTACTGTTTGTTTAATTAATATTAGAATTTTATAAATTTCCACGTGGTGCGAATGAACAGTTGAATTTTACTTATGTTGTACTTTCATGTCACTTTGCAAGATGGGTGTAAGAATGCAGATGAATAAAGAGTGGGGCATATACCCATGGAGGTTTTTTTGTGTGAATCCAGAAGAAGAAGAAGAAAAATAGTCTTGGGGAATGGATAGTCCTGGATTTTTGACAGAATGATGTGCTCTAGGGTGCTAGCAAGGAATTCTCACTGAATATAGTTATGAATTTCTGTGTTCCTCTTCCTCTCTGAAAAGGAAAAAACCTAATTCTTGAATGTGATTGTTACATGTTGTTGCTGGAAATACTGATTAAATTTCAAAGTACCATACATTTTTCTATTTGCTTTAAACAGAAAAGCTCATAAAATGAGTCTGAAAAGTCAGCAAATTCAGGTGTTCTTGTCTCCATGTGTAAATAGTTTACTGATTATGGTCTTAATTAGTCAATCAGTTAAAGAAGCAGGAAAGTGATTTACTGCTTTTACAGCTCCAGTCATGTGCTGCAGTGTTAGAGTGTTGTGTTGAGAAGGTGTAACAGGCAATTGCAGTTAAGCTTTATAAATAGACCTGCTCAGAGGTGTGTTATCTTCTGTGATGCCTTGTGCAGTTGTGCTGTAAAGGCTAGCTTCAGGTTTTACTTAGGGTTCGCTACTAATGAAGGTCCTTCGTACCCTATGGAACACGTGACCTCTGTAAGAGTTGCTTTGTGTACCTGATTATTTTTACTCGAAGAAAAAGGTAAGACTGTTTTTCTACGGATCTTTGTTGCATGTGGATGTTTAAGGATTGCGAGTATTTTGGAGAGTAAATAGACGAGCTTTTGCTGCTTTGTATTAGAAGTAAACTTTTATGTGATGAATGTTTCAGGTTCACTGATACTCCTGACTAATTGGTATTGAAGGTGTAGTATAAAGGATAACTATTTAAAACCAAAACAAACCTTCTGCATAAGCAAGCTGACCTTTCCTTTATTAAAAAGGAGGGCTTTTCTTTTGAAGTTGGTATATGAGTAAACACAAAAAGAGTGGTAGCATTTGGCAGGAGGAAGAAATAAATTTGGCAATGGGCTCTCTTGTCACTGAGAGCTAAATGCTTTACGCCTAAACCATATGGGCTTACTGATCGTGCACCTGTGGAATACTGTGTTGGCTGAGAAGGGGTAGAGCTGTGCAGCTTATCTCAGTCTGTGTGCTGGGTACTATCCCTACCCAATGTTTATCTCTGCCTGGATGTTTCTGTCCCTAGCAAAGAGATTTATCAGTCTTATTTATAATGCTTGAGTGAGATCTCACTGGACCTTTTTCTTTCTGTTCTGGATTTGAGCCAAATTGGTTTGGTGAGAAAGAACTGACTTTTAGTTCTTATTGCTTACTTTCTAATATTATCTCAGTTTTGAAAACAGTTGTACCTTCTGTTCCTAAAGAACCAAGCTTCCCCAGACACATGTATCCATGAATGCCTTATTTAAAGACATATTCAACAATATTCCTGTGAACTGAGTTTCCTTGACTTTTTATTCTTACCAAAGTGTAACAGTAACTTGGCTTTACTATTTCACTTCTGCATGTGTCACAATATTTTTCTTCAATTCTTATCACTAAAAAAGTTGTGTTGAAGGACTCCTAAATAAGGCCAGTTGAAGTACGTCTTACTTTGGGAAGGTCTAATATAGTTCTAAAATAACTCTTGGTACTCATAGTGTGCAAAATGCAGACTAAAAAAGTCATGTTAATGTAGGAAGTGCAAAAGCTTATGGCTGTGAAAAATGGTAGCTTGTGCAAGTGCTAATGGGCTTTCCATATAACTTCTGGACTTACAAGAATTGCATTAGTATCTGTTTAATGTCGTATTTATGCTTTAAACTGAAGTACTGAGATTTCAGAGTCTGATTCAGGTGGTTTTATTTACTTTGGCTGTTTACAAGTCAATTCTTCAGTCCTTCCTCCACAACAGAAGACTAGAGACTTGGAGAATCCCAGTGTGTGTATTGTTGTGTTCTGTTGTTTGTTTTCCGTGTGGCTTTTACTCTTGGGTAAAACATGAAATACTGAGAGATGTAAATATGAGAGTTGGGAACACTTTTGCTTCTTTCTTTATTTTAAGGTGATAAACTGAATTTTATAATGCATGTTGTCAAAATTCTCTGTACACTTCAAGGTTAAGGGAAAATTATTTTAGTTTTTGATGCTAGCAGAAAATAATTCTTTCAGTAACTGACAGGTGCTTTCCGATTTCTTACTCCCTACTATTACAATAACTCTTTGAAAAGGTGCCCCAGTGCTATTACTCTTCCTTTAATAAACAAGAAAGGCTTTGGGGAAGAGAGTTAGAGAGATCCTTATTTATAGTTGTTCTCAGTGGGAATAATTGGTAAAGATAATGCCTACTTTAAACTCTTTACTTTGAAAAATCTGTCAAATACCACATTTTACATATTTATATATCTAGTTCAATGTAAAATGACTAAGAGTTCCTTAGACATGTTAATTTTGGAGTTAAGCGTGTGTCTGCATTTTTACTTTTTTCTGAAGCTTTTTAAAGCTCTGTATAGCTGTTCAGCATATGAACACTTGCTACATGGTTTTGACTTCTCAGTATGAATGAGAAATTAGTTGTTCAAAAGTGGTAGAAGGGATATACTGCTCATTGATTCTTCATTGTGAATGCCAAGGCTAAAGATAAACATTTTAATTTCATTTATTGTATATGGGAATACTAATCAGGTATATCTTTCTTATTAGGTTAAATTAGCATATATTTTTAAGATAGAAACAAAATAAAACCCCCTTAGCATCAAACCAACCCTGTAACAGTGATGATCACACAAGAACGCATCCAGTCGGGCTTTGAATGTCTCCAGAGAAGGAGACTCCACTTATTAGGTTAAATTAGCATATCTTTTTAAGATAGAAACAAAATAAAACCCCCTTAGCATCAAACCAACCCTGTAACAGTGATGCTTACTCAGCAGTATTTTTTAGCGTGTTAGTTTTGCTGACTTCTCTCTCCTCTGCCTCTCTTCTCCAGCACTTAAGTACTAGTTGTTACTGTAGATGCACTGTCTTTCACAGCTGTACTAGACAGAGGCTGAACCTCAGAAATATCTCCTTCCAGCAGCAGCATCTTGCTGGGTGTCTGACCCCCTAGTTGGCGTGCCTGCTGGCTTTTTGATTAGGTTCCCTGCTGGCAGCTGGGAAACTGGCTAAGAGCCTAGGAGAGATTGATACATGCAAGGTGCCATGATGCTGCCTGCCCCTCTTTCCTAGTTTTGAGTTCTCATCTGTGCCCTTCTGATTTTGCAGTTCTCTCTTCAAACACATCTTCCTGTAATTCAGCTCTGGGCCACCATTCAAATATCTTTGATTATTAATTGCTTCATAACATGGCTGTTTCATCAGCTGTCTTTCAGGAACCTAAGTGTTTGGTTGGGCTTACAAGACAGCAGCCAGGCTGCATCGTTGAGCTTTTTAAGAAAACAGTTATTAAAAAAAAAAATACCCTTAAATAGGAATACTCAGACCTAAGGAAGTGCTTGGTGGGCACTCCTTGGCTCTGTTCTGTGAGGTGGGAAGCACAGGGGATGGTTTGCTTCTTCAAGAAGGAATAAAATGTTCAACCTTACCAACCTGGAGTTGCATTGGAAACACAGGCAATTCAAAGTTACCTTAGGGTATGTAGTGTAAGTCACAAACAATAATAAACTTTAGGGTCCTAAGGTTATTTTAAATACTTAGAGGAATAAATATTTTATACTTTCTCCCCTTCTCCCACCAACATTTTAAGTGTCTCAGTGCTCCCATGTTTATAAATCCTTTAGCAGGACCTTGAGTGTTTATACCTTATAACTTATTTTTACTCTATGCAAAAGTTGGAACACCAAGATTATCTCCTTCTAATCTGTTTCCTTAAACTTGCAATAATTTCAGTGTTTTGTGGGAATTGGTTGAGAGATGGTCAGCCTATTCCTCTGAGGACGGTACTGAATTACTTTGGGTGTGTATGAGACAAGGAGGGAATATAGTGAGCATCTTGAAAGTGGACTTCAGCAGTCACATGATTCAATGCTTCTTTGTCTTTAAATTACAGCAAATTAAACTGATAAAAACCTTTTCCTATATTTGGTATGGTACCAATTCTACATTAGCATAAAGTTCACAGCAGAACCCTGCTATGACAGCTCTGATGCCGATCCAAGCTGCTGTTTTGTGAAGGATTCAGCTGGCTTCAGTCCTCTGGGAAAATGGTGTCCTGCTTCACTAGGGTTAGAAGGGTTGGAAGCTGTATGACATCTCAAGGGTACCAAACCCTCATGGAACATATTAAAAATTAATCAGAATGTGTGCAAGCTATAAAGCTGTCTAATTAGTTCCTGTATGCTTTTTAAACTATAAACATAATGTGCAAGTGCTAGGTTTGGAGGACTGTTGAGCTTGGACATGCATCTGAGGCTCTCTGCTTGGTCTTCGTGATCGTCACGTATTTACTCACCTAAGCTTCATTTTCTAAGAGTATTGATTAGTAGTAGATGTGTGTGCTGTGCTGAAAATTGAAGTATCTGGGGTGATTCTAGTGTGACTCAAATCACAGCTAAGCATAAAACAA